AAAACAGTCATCATGGAGAGCAAAAGCAGGCAGAACAAACACCACTACACTAATAGTTTTATTCATCCCGATAACAGAAATTACAGTTCAAAATTAAGTTTTAGCCTTCTGTAAGAAATCTGATTGGCACCGAGGTGCAGAGGAAACCTACTGGTAGACTTCCTGACTTCCTGGCATATGCAAATCATGATTGATCCAAATAACAACCTTGAAAAAAATAGTCCTGATCTGCCAAAGTTTACAACTTTTACTTTTTACTGCACCTAAAAGCTGCTATATTGTATGTAAGTAGACCCACCATTACTTGAAACAGATTAATGGGCATTACTCCAGGGGAAATAATTAAACATCAAATGGTGAGCATTTACTTTGCAGAGGTAAATTCAGCAGAGAAAAGGAAGTCTGGGCTGAAAGCAGTTTTGGTGAGTGTTGGCTTTAACATGTAACTGATAATTTGGTATACAGCTATGTCAAACACCAGATAATGACAGATGATCAGAAACCAAGATTAGCACCAAAGCAACAGCCAACAGTTAAGTATGAATGTTTTCAAAGCCTGAAATGTGGCCTCAGTGGGTCATGACGCGACCATTACCATCTGTGAATCATAACAACATCCGCAAATAGTTCTGTGTCGGTATGTTGTACTGAAATGTGACAAGTTTCATCTGCTCTCGGTCGCAAGGTCACAACAGAGACAAGGATCCTAATCTTGGCTCAATGGATGTCTGAGCGCAATTTTATAGTAATCTATTTTAGATGCTATTGTAAATGGCCAGAGCAGCTGGCTGACTCCACTGCCATCCGTGGTGCCATTATGCTGGAGTGGCTGAAAATAATGGATAACCTCTGGATGTTGCATCTGTATTTCATAGTGACAACAAGCTTTTAAACAGCCTGATGAGCAAACAATTCAAGTTCAAGCTGCAGATCCAAGCCGACCCACATCTGCCAGTGTGTCTGTTGAAGAGAGAGAGAGACAGGAAGAGAGAGAGAGAGAGAGAGCAGAAAGAGGGCGAGCAGACACTCCGATTTCAGTATTGATATCAGAGTTTTCACACAGCAGGCACCAAACTGTCTGAACACTTAAAAAGAAGCCCCCTGCAGCAATAAAGCCTCTGTCTTATGCCAACAGAGACTCATATGTTTCAATCAATGACCGACTTTTCTAATTGTTTGAAAGGTTTTTGCAGCGCCACTGTAAAGGGAAGAAATACTGCATCTGACATTTATACAAAGCAGATATCTTCGAAAACACAGTATGTGTGATATCAGTTAACACACATTTTCAAACACCACCTCACCAAAAGCTCCCAGGTCAAATGTCCAAGATTAAATGTAAAAGGATTAATAAAACAGAGGAGGGCATAGAACTCTTACTGCTTCCTTGTGCTGTAGCATCCATAATATATGACTCTCTATCAAGAACCATCACAGCTGAGGGTGACAGACATGCTATAGCTCACCGGTCATTCCAGGTCGCACAATCCAGTGATCTATATTTCAAGAGTCCTCTCGTGAAGGAGAAGCATGTCTGTTGTTTATGATGAGTTATAAAAGATTCCTTTTTTGTTTGGCTCCATGCTTTTTTAATCTTAGTTCTAAGTGCCTCATCAATCTTTCATGTGGCCAGTCTTCCTGTCTTTTGTGTGATGCCTTTGATGTTAGCCTGCACTCTTCCCTACCTGAACACCATGTATTTTTCATATCCTCTCTGACAAACAGCAATGCATTCACAATGCATCCCACTTTTTATTGTAAAAAGAATTATTTCTGATGGTTCGGTATTGTTCGTGTAGAGAAAGATAACATCTTAAGGATTTGCAAAGAGAAATTGAGGTATATAAATCATAAAAATCAAGATCAAAAAGCAGAATTTATAGCTGTTTTGACTTTTTAAACAAACAACAATTTTCCTATCACGGTTGTGCTTCAAAACCAAACATTTCTAAACCTATTACAGCTCATACTATAATCAGACTGAGATTAACAGGCAATGTTGAAGCTATTAATTGTGCTGCATTTGTTCAGTTCAAAGCTGGATGTACTGAGTACATTCAGTGCCAAAGCAGATCTATGCCAGAGGCTCATGACCCTCCATGTTGGATGTACAGCGTGCAGTACCGCTAGGTCAGGTGAGGGTATCATTAATTAAAAGCATGTGCCTGTTGGAAGCACCACTCTACCATGCAATAAAGCATGTTTATAGGCCTCTGCTGCCCACATTCTTTACCCTCACTTTTCATCTCTTTGACAAAAAGCCCTCTCTGTGGTCAGAGCATAACTCCTCACCCGCTGACAGCTCCCGGATTACGACTGTGCGGAAGGAGAGGGAGGTGCGAGGGAATGGGAGGTAACAACCAGGCTCCTCAAAGTCATCATGGCAGTCGTAGATTATAGTGCATCGTCTCCTCTTGGCAGGGCGGCAGGTGACAGCATGCATGCTGATCAGTTGTATGGGGGAAGGACAGCGGGACAGGATCGTATGGCCTGGGCTCTGGGAAGAATATCCACCTGATCCCCGCAGCTGCCTGTGCAGCCCAGGCGCCTCTCACTTTTCCACTCAATAGGTGGAGACAGGAAGGGCTGACATGAGCTGAGTGATATGACTGGAGCCGAAGCTGTGTTTCCAGCAGCTCTTTGTGTCTAGTTCACACTTTAAGTACTTCATGTCTGCCTTTTTTTTTCCAGGAACAGCTGCTGCCAGATTTCACCCCTCAAAAGCAACACTAATCTTATCCTGCTTTTATTAAATTCCATACAGCAAACATATTTACATGTTTACATTTAACTACATATGAAATAAATCTTCAAATCAGTACAAACAAGCCACCAAATACATCCCCAAAACTTCCAGTTTGGAAACCAAATTTACAAGACTGTTTAGCAGCGTCTGAGGAACCAGTGGGTGAGATGTGTTGAGTTTACTTTTGGAGTAATTTATGATTGCATATGCCGTCCTTCCTCACTCTCCTCTGCTCTCTGTGTTGGTGTTGTACTCCTCCACATATCCACACATGGAGGCCATGGCGGAGGAAGCGAGAAACCAAGTTTACCTGAGGATACAACTACAATCATTACAGTCTGAGGAATACAACTTTTAGTTGTAGAATTCTAGAAATAATTTAGGAAACATCCATTACGAGAAAAAAAAACTTTATCAAACCATTTTTCTTACAAACTGTCATCCACAAACACTTTCAGGATGTATTAATGATACTCTTAAGGGCGACAGAAAGAGCTCTGAACAGGTAACTATTGTAGTGGAGTTTCTTTACATGGATCTATCCGACACGTTTAAACATATTTTGTGTCAGAATTTGAAGGCTTAATTTTATCACTGTTTTTTTTTTTTTTTATCTTAAAAGAATTTGATTTTGGCCTCTGTCCTGCTAACTACAAAATTGTGTTCTTATCCACCTTATATAGAGTCCCAAGTGATACTTTTGAGTCCACTATTGTTCACTTTGTACTCATAGCCTTTGCGCCTTTTTACCTTGAGCTTTTGAAGTAGATCTCTGCAGGACCCCGCTGCTTCCAGCAAATGTAACATTAGTATTGACTTGGTGGTTTTTGGATCACTTTGATGAGAAACAGCAGGGTGAAAATAGATTACTCTTAGCAGCACTTTACTGATTGCCACATGATTGATGTCAGAGAAAATGCCTCCGTTTTACTCAATTAGATGTCACAGAACTTAAAGGCCATGGTGACAAAACCGCAGATCAAGCCGTAAGGCGACATTTGCATGACACTGCAGATAACGCTGTCACATATGAACATAATCAGTAAGTTGTTCAGTCAATGCTGTACTTGTCAGGCTCAGATAAATCAATACTTCCAAGCTGAGAGGTGACAGTTACAAGATACTGCTGATAACACAGGCACATATAAACATAATAACTCTTATGTTCAACAAATATAATATTGGCTAAATTAGGCTGTTTATTATGCCTATTCAGTTCATTTGGCAAAATTGGTTACTGGTTATTGAAATGTGAACAGAATGTATTATTTCAGTTAAGCAGGATAACAGGACAGAAATCTTGTCCATCTAATCAAAAGCTTCCTGACATCCATTTCAAATCCTTATTTGTAATCCTTTCTGTTCCTGGACAGTCTTCTAGAAAGTGTAACAGTCTGTAAAGTGAAACTGTGGCCTGACTGTCCAGACTCTTTGTAGCCACACTTACAGCTCTGTAAAAAATCATATTCTGTCATTTAATGTCTTGTTCCTATCTCCAAAAGTAAAGCAACTCATCTATGCTTTTCCTTGCCACTGTCACTCATGTTACATGAGATGGGTCAAATCTATCCCATCTTAAGGTCTGGTCTTGATAATTCATCAAGCAATGAGCGTGGTCTAAACCTGCTCATTTTGTTATTTATTTATTTATTTATTTTTTGGAAAGCATCTTGGGAAAACGACCGTTGTGAATTGGCACTATATAAATAAAATTTGATTGATTTGAAGAAACCATCTTGATGAACCTCAGCAACTCCAAGAGCAGCTGTTCAAGTTTTGATCACACAGGTTAAACCTTACCATTACACCTTCCGGAGAAGGCCCTCAGGGTCTTTGTGATAATTGCTCCTGAATAACTTCCATAAATTTTGTTAATCCAATTCACTACCAAGTGAAAGTAACAGCTGAAACTATGCACTGTGTTACCAATGTTATGTTAAGAAGTTAACATAACACTTATTGTTCTTTATTTTCAAAGAAATCAGGGTAATTGATATCATTTTCACAAAGTAGGAATTAACAAAGGGTCCAGAATCAGAGACTCTAACAGTGATAAGGCAGAAAAACTTTATGAGGCATTAATTTGAGGAATAACAGCCAGTTTTCTCTATTTAAAAAGACTATCAAGTTAACCATCACCATGGGCACAACTCAAACTGACTCTAATGGAATATTATCAACATAAAAATGTGATCATTCTTAAATCAATTTAATCCTTTCAGATCAGTATTTGGAGTGAAATTATTCATTCTTTGGGGACCATGTAAGAAGTTTGATAATGAATAGTGATTAGTGTATTCCAGCAGACCCTGTACTCCTTTAGGGTTAGATAAGACCCTTCTACTCTAGATCAGGGTGCTGCCTAACTTGTTGGGGTTCGAATCCACTATATCAAACGACTCACTTATGTCAAATATTATAGCTTGTCTGTATACATTTGTGCTTTGAATGGATAGATGGCTTTTGATAGATTTAATGGTTGGGATTAAACATGCTTTGAAATAATGCATAAGAGGCTTGTTTTGCCACTTAACTAAAAATTTAGCAGATTTGGTTGTGATGTTAGCTGGAAGGACATTTGACCCGACAGAAGGAGCCAGCTGGCTGGAGCTGCAGTATAGTTTGTGGCTTATATGTTTGTGACTATTGCTGCAACTGTTCAAAGAAAGATTAATGTTTTTATTTTGCTATGGGTTTATTTTTTCATGATCACAGTTTTTTTTTTTATTTAGAGTAGTAAAAGACTCCAGGTTACATTGTCACTGGAGTCCAAGTCTATTGATTTCAATGTCAATAAAATCCATCCACAGTCCTGTCCTTCTCTTATCTGCAGATCTCAGTTTGAGTGCCTGTTTGTCACTTGTGTTGTGTGCTGAGAACCTCTCTGAGGAAAATAACTAGATCACTCAAAATTTTCAGCTTGTGAGCTAACATGTTTGTCATTAAGATTACCTCTCTAGGTGCTTTATGTTCACCCTTTTTGGGGACTATTGGATTGGATGTTAAAGGCACAAGTTCAGTTAAAGGGATATTCCGGTGTAAAATTAAGCTAGGGTCAAACACAAGGTAACACTGAGTTAGACACCCCATCGAGAGATGAATGTTGCCGACTGATTGCTTCTCTAGTTATACCAACTTTAGTAACGACCGCACAATAGCAATACACAGTGGTCTCAGGAGTTACGCGCAAACCTCAACCAAAAAGCCACTCTTTAGCCACAAATAATGCTCAGAACAGCACCTAACTTCATCAACAGTACATATAGGGTCCCAGCCATAGTACTAGCCACCAAACATCTTTTTAGCCTCGCCTCATTTCTTAAGCAAAAAGACTAAACAGCTCACCTACTCTCCTTCAGCAGCCGCTTGTTTGTAGGGAGACCTCAGGTGAGTCCATCTACTGCTGCGGGGTGACACAGCTCAAGGAAGAACATTTATAATCATTACTTCATGGAAATGCATTCAGACCGAGACGCTAAGGCAGAAGAACTACAGCGTCTGCAGTGCAAAATGATTATTATGGTGATTATTACTTTAAGGAAATGATAAAGAAATGATCATAAATGTTCTTCCTTGAGCTGCATCCCCCCCGCTGCAGTTGGTGATGGACTCGTCCGAGCTCTCCCTACAAACAAGCGGCTGCTGGAAGAGAGTAGATGAGTTGTGTTTTATCTCTTTGCTAAAGAAATCAGGCAAAGCTAAAAAGATGTTTGGTGGCTAGTGCTATGGCTAGGACTCTGTATATACTGTTGATGAAGTTAGGTGCTGTTCTGAGCATTATTTGTGGCTATAGAGTGGCATTTTGGTTGACGTTTGCATGTGGCTCCTGAGACCGCTGTGTATTGCTATCGTGCGGTCGTTACTAAAATTGGTATAACCAGAAAAGCAAGCAGTGGGCAACAATCATCTCTTGACGGGGTGTCTAACTCGGTGCTACCTTGGGCTCTATTTTGGTGCCTCGCCGGAGACGTGCCGCAAGCGCAGCGTCAATCAGATCCGCCGCGCTGACAAGGCGTTCCCAAGCACATTTTGGTATTTTGGTGAGCCGCGCAGCCCGGCGTAAGTATCCCCCCTCCCTAACTCAGCTCCTCCCGGCAGCATAAATCATAGACGGGGAGGAGAGAGGGCGTATACTGTGTTTAACACAGCCGAGACCTGTTTTCACCAATCACATAAGCTCCTCTCCTTGCCTTTAAATCCGCTACCGGCGAGGCGTATTACTATTTTCATGAAGTAGTCAAAGAGATCAAGAGATGTCTGAAGACAGTTATGCCACACGATGGCGACAGAGGGCAGCTGCTCAACAAGTGTCCTCCACACTCTCTCATCTGAGCACAGATGGATTTGGTGTGTGTAATGTTGGACCCACTGGTAAGACAAACACCCTTTTCCACAAATAAAGACACTCACATAAAGTTGCATATATTTAAACCACACGTGACAAAGGTGGGTTTAGCGCACAGATCACAACATAAACTCCAAAAATGGCATTAAAATCGGAACCATCTGTGCGTAAATGACGCATCGCGCTCCGTGGCCTGGCTCTTTCTTTCATAGATGTTGGCATATAAAATAGATTTGGCCCACAAAACTGAATATTATAATATCCGTATGTCGGCTTAAAGTAGATAACGCATCTGAGCACTGAAACAAATCATCTGTTCAGCTGCAGCAGCAGCAAGACGGACAGAGGACACGGAGACGTGTCCAGGTCGAGCTGTGCGAGAAATAAGAGGAAGAAAGAAAAGGAGGGAGACACATTACGTATCTTGTTAACTTCATCATGTGTGTTTATTTACTAGATATTTAATTTAATTTGATGCAGTTTCAGCTGTATTGATTCGGTCAGGTTGTGTGCCCAAACGCGTGCCAAACGCGCTCATCAAATCAGATATAGATCAGAATATATCGATATAGATCTAAATGTATGTGCTGACTCAGATTAATAGTTGTTGATGATTATTTATTGCACTGAAATCTGCCTGACACTGTGGAAACTGCCGGTGAATCATCAGTGACGTATGTTGATACGCCGCCGGTCTACCAAAATACTACTAGACCAGCTGCGTTCCGCCTTGCGCTGAAAGCTGACCAGGTTTGAATCGGCGAGCTTTCAGCGCACGTTACACGTCGGTGGCGAGCACGAAAATGTCACTGCGCTAGCTGATTCTGTCAACACCTCCCCCTGCCACGCCACCACGCCCAGCTTGGCAGATCTCGGCTCGCCTCCGTGCGACTCAGTCCACGAAAATACCAAACTCGCCTTACGCCGGGCTCCGCCAGACGAAAATACAACTGCGCGGGGCTCGCCGCCCTCCGCCGCCTCACCGGCGCGAACGAAAATAGAGCCCCTTGTGTTTGACCCTAAGTTAATTTTACACTGGAATATCCCTTTAATGTCCAAGGATGTCCTGTAATGAACCGTTTTATTTGGTGATAGAATTGAGCTTTTTTATTATGTCAAAAGATACATATTTTTGCTTTGGCTTAGTCAAGCAGACATGGACAGAAATATTTAGTCAGCTGCCTTAGGTGTGTTGTACTTTTCTTTTGTTATGCTGTCAAGTTACATGCCTATCATATGCAAGAGAATCTCATTTTCTGTGCTCCACTGCATATTCAGACCAAAAAAAGAAGATGTCATGCAGCTTTTTGCATTACATTGGCAAGAAATGTCAGATCTGTGTAGCACATGACGTGTGACAAAAATCTGAATCAGGAGGCTTCCAGCTTCAGTATGAATGTGCCCTTGTATTTCCATCTGTCTACCCTGGCTCTCTTTCTATCTGGCTGTTTTCGCCCGTGTCTGTCACCTTTCTATCATTTTCACAATGTCTCTGTCTCCCTCAGCTGCTCTCCTTCACTGTCCTGTTTGAATCAATTTCCTCTCTCCGTCTGCTCTCTCTACCTCCTCTCTTTACTCCTCGTCTTCTCTCTTAACACCATCTTTTTGTCCCTTCAGAACCTGACTCTCCTCCTCCCAATCCCGGCTGGATTAACATACATTACACATTTCACAGTGGCTTTGTAATAAAAGACTGTATTCAGCTTGTTTCTCCAAGAGCAGTAACCAGTATGCACATCTCCCCCAAGGTCAGGACAGACCTGAATAGCCCACCTTAATTCATTTTGGGGGTGTGCCAGTACTTTGGCACGCCGTCTTTGCAGCGCCTAGTGGCCCAGGTGTTGCTTTTAGATTACACTGTGTGCTCACACAGGCAAGAAGAAGGTCTGTAATCATGTTAGCCGAATAAAGAGACACAGCTCCTCACCCTCTTCATAAAATTACAGCCATTGTCGACACTCAGGACCATTTATCCCTGAGGCTCTGTGATGAGCAACATGGAGCCGTGTCGGACTGTCTGCCTGTGAGTGTATGAAGGTGTGGTGACTGTAAGTGATGTTGGAAATGACAGGACGTAAGAGCACGGAAAAGGTGGGGGCTGCTATTTCAGTCTCTATCACATCAAGGTAGAGATTTGTCACCAGAGTCCATGTCATAACACTCTCAGAGACCTGTCTTTAACCCTCAAAGTCTCCCTGGAGACATCTACCATACACCAAAACATCTACCATTAGCTCCAAATTTAGTTAAGATCCCCTAAATCCCCCATCGCTGATCCATCTGTCTGTATTATTCAATTGCCACAATGATACACACACATGTAAATTGTGAATTTACACTCCTTGTCTGGGAAATCACACATAAACTGGAGAAGTGCCATTTCACATCCTGACCTCACCCCACCCACGGTTTCAAAATAATTAATAGTGTTGTGGGAAGGCCGGGCTCACATCATTAACTATCATTGCAATGTTTCAGTGGGTAAAAATCAATGAGAAATGCCTCATAAAATCTGATCAGAGCACAGTATCATGTGGAAATAAAATTTATCTCTCTGTCTCAAATGGGAGAGTGAGAGATGAGAACTATTGACGTTAGCCGCCAGCTTGTTCTTGCAAATCAAAAAAAAGTTGAATTTTAATTGCAAAGGGTATACGAATTATCTAACCTACATGTGGGAGGCACGCCAGATCCAATAAGACAAATGATACAGAGGAGAGACAACTCCACCTCAAACTTCAGGAACAATTCGTCATACACCAAAGCATAAGCCATTAGCTCCTTAAAACCCTGGTGTTGTTTTCTCCATTTTGTTCCTGCAGAGATTTTTTTATTTATTCATTTTTTTATCATAACTGCACGTTCAGGCTGCTCTCTGTTCTACCAGCTCCTGTAACTGAGTGCAATCTCTCATGCATGATTTCTTTCATCTCTAAGACAGACTGAGGCATGATCCAGGGCTTTAATTTGATCACAGCTGCTCTCACTAACATTAATTGAAACCTTGATGAATTAAACAAAGATAATAACGATTACTTTACTTACTTTACCATAGCTGATTATTTTTTTTTATTTATCTCTTAGACTTACCAACCCTCTCTTTTGATGAATTTTTCTCTTGTTTGTGGCCTTGAAACTTCTAATTTGTTCTCTAGTGCTGGACCAAGATCATATTTTGGTCTGGGACTCTTAAAGCACTGACATACCACTTATACAGTTCACTTTGCCTGTCTGTCTTTCATTTGTACAACACCAAATTAATCGAATGTTTTGTTTGTTGTTAAGAGATCTCAACTCCAATCAGTCCTTATAAAGGTTAAATGAAATAGCTGTTGTTAATCTCAATGCTCCCTCCTTGGAACTGGCATTTTTTCTTGTCTGTGGTTGTGTGTGTGAAATTGATTCAGTCACTTAAAATGAAAATATGCCCACAAAAGTGGCACTTTTAAGAAGCTTCAGTCTTTACTCATTACAAAACATTTAAAGGTGCTGTGAGAAGTTTTCATGTTAAGTTTATTCTGGAGACCCTGTGGGTGTAATTTGTGTTTTTCTTTTCTTTTTCTTTTTTTTTTTTGTTCTGAGAGGAGGACGACCACATGTCCTGTGAGCATCATCATGCACCATCTGTAAAATGTGGCTGTGGCAAAAACATGCATGAGTTGGAATTAGGGCCCGGCGATATTGCCTCAAATCAAAATTCTGATATACTGAGCAGTTCACCTTGATAACGATAAATGGACGATAACTACTCCATAAGCTGCTCAGCCCTCCCACATTAACTTCGTCTACCTCAGCCGCCGCTCCAACTTTTGAACCATCCTCCATCTCCTCACCTGTCTTTCCCTCTTTGTTGCAGACTGGATGGGGTTGAGTCACATCTTCTACGTAGGACAGTGTCTTAGAGGGACATGAGACCATAGCCTACCTACATTAATCCAGAACCAACTTTTATTTATTTATTTATTTATTCATTTTGACACCGAATATATTGACATGTGCAAAATGACATGGGCTATTGTCGTAAATTTCGGTATCGGTAAATTTTCGGTTTATCGCCCAGCCCTAGTTGGAGTAAAGATTTTCTTTTTAATACTTCATTTCATTGTTCAAGACAATGTTTCACAACCTAATAATGAACCACAAATTAGCTTACAAAAGGTTATCAGTCCTTACCTTTCACAGTCCTGGTGTCATGATATGCGCTTTGGGGTCCCAATACATGGCCTAAATATGCACACTGTTAAGCACTTCAAAAGCAGAGAAGCTTTCACAAGCCAGCATAAATGTTAAATTCTGTTCTAAATTCATTTACTTTCACCCAGCTAAGATCTGGTTAAAAAGTTTCTTTGTCTAAAACAACACTTTTAACAGGGAACATACTCATTTTTGCTTCAATATCAGCCATGAGTACAACAAATTATGCTTAAAGAAAATTATCAAAAGAAATAAAAGTCCCCTTGCTCACTAACCTACATGTCATTGCCAGACTTTATAACCCTGAACAAATCCACATCTCTGCAGAACTAAATATTAAATAGAATTTTTCACAGAAAATCTAACCCAATCACACGGCACTAAATTTCAGGATAAATGAATAACTGATCCTGTTGCCAAGAGACTCTATTCAACACAGCTCCTACTGTTCCTTTAAAAAGATTAGAATTCAAACTGTGATTGAAGTTGTAATTGTTCAGTAGGTGTTAATCATGTACTATTAATATAATTTACCTATATTTTACTCCTGTTCTCTGAATAGAGCTGCACCTGTTTTAGTTACCTAAGTTTGTGTCTTGAGTTGTACAGTTTCTTTGGACTTTGTTCCAGGAAACTTGCCAAGTTATGTGATGTTGGCACAAGCCAGCTAAGAACACACACATCTGCAACAGTAAGCCTCATTACACCTCAGGATATTCGCAGATGTCCCTCAGTTCTCATTGTCTCTCATCACACCTTGTGATCGCATAAGCAGACGCCCAAACATTCAGCCATTTATTATGTTTTTCAAAATACCCATGTGGAAAAATGTTTTTTCCATCATGCATCCTCTTATCATATTTAGCTCTAATAGTCACTCAATCATCTGTAATAATTCCATTGTTAAAGTTTTCAAAAAAGCTCTGTTTGCAAAGTACAAATATGTGCTGCATGAGGCATCACGATTATGCATCATGAATTATGCACAAAAGCAAAAGATCTGTATGCAAACAGCACACACTCACAGCAGCACAGTAATTGGTTTTATGTAATAAAACTTTTCCCCCCTTAAGTATTTCTGCTTCTTGTGTACGCAGTGACCCACAGTTATCAGCTGACAACCAGACTGGATCAGGAATTTAAGATGAATAACACAAATCAGCTTACTCACAATAACACAAAAGGTCTGGTGAATACAGAGAGGCGCTGTCAGCAGTTTGCGAGCGGCAGCAGCAGGAAACGAGCTCCTCTGACAGTGTAAATCATAGATCAGTTCATTAACAAAATGGCACTGATGGATTTACACTGGGGTCAGAACATTACCGAGCGCCTGGAGGATCCTGACTCTCTTACAACCTTGGACAACGTTCTTCCTCTCCATCTTTTCTCACTGAACATTTAAAATCCCTGTTCTGCACCTCGAGCATAAGAGGAGATTTACACCTAAAAAAAAAAAAGGCCATGTGTGAGCGAAGCTTTTCTTTTTAAAGTTTAACACATGAGCTCATAGAAAGGCCTGAGGAAAGCTATTCATGAATTTGATGTCGGCAAACAACTTGTTTTTAAGTTGTTACATGATCTCCATTGAGTCTCCACAGAAGCTTGTACCAGTTCGACACTAACAATGTTTACATGAAAATAAATACTTGATCCAATTAAAAATTTAAGGGATAATCTGAATCCACAGTTTATATGATGCAAAATCAAATAATCTAATCATGACGTGCATATACATGCACCAAGCTTTATTCAGATTAGAAGCATTTGGACATGAGCAGAGTCGTCTGATTTCTCTAAAACAACCGCAGAAGAAGAAGAGTTGTATTTACGCCTGTGCTGTCAACAAACCAACAAACGCGCTAGTGGCTCATTCCATCCAATTCAGGTGTTTTCCCCTTGTTAAATGTTGTCAATAGATGGCGCCCTTGCTTACATATTTTACTGTTCTGTCAAAGGTTGCAATGTGCGTGCAGATGTGACATCATTACTGTCTTTGTACGCCTTGTTATGTTACCGGAAGAGCAGACACAGCAGCTGCGGTTGTGTTTCATGCCAGAGTGTTAATAATAAAACCTCCTGTACTGACCTTAATGAATAAACCAAAGGCTAAAGAGTGAAGATCGAGTCAGGTAAGAGAGTCCTGATCGGAATAAGTGTGATTGGCATAAACCACCCCTCTTGATCGGAATACAATTTTTTTTCCAGTTGAGCCGAATTTGATCAGAATCTTCCGATCGACATGTTTACATGATACATTTTTATTCTGATCATCTGTACCCATGTAAACTCAGCTACTGTATAGAAACAGCTTGTCGAGCAACAACCAGCAGGTGTATAAACAGCAAACATTAATGCTTTCATTAGAGCGGTGAGTGCACAGACTGAGCATCATAGAAAATAACAAAATAACAAAAAGATTAAAAAACGTGAATATTTGAAGCTTCTTCTGCACAGAACAGCTAAATAAATCCATGTGCACTGTGGTGGACTAGCATCCTTTTCAATCTGCTTTTTGCCCAAAGCCTTCTTATAAATGGATCTGCTGATAGCTGAATCAGGAGATAACTACTTAATGATCCGAAAAAGGAAGAAAAAAAAAAAGCTAGAGTAGACGATTTCAGCTAATCAATCACAATATACTGCTCGGACCTTAAAAATAGGTAAGTATGATGCAGTTTTGATAAAAATGAAATCGTCCTGGACTGATTTGTGCCCGGGTAAAAAAGGGGAAGAAAAGGCTTTATGCGTGTGTGAGGAAGGGGTAAAATAGGCTGTGAGTCACAGAATACTTCCTCCTGCCTGCACAAAGCTTTCCTTTTCTTCTCTTGTCTGCCATGAATTACCTTTGCCTGAAGCCCTCTCTTTTGAAAGTCAAAAAGGGCGTTAAGAAACTCCTCACAGAATCACATTTCTGCTGTGAAATAAAACTATAAACTCCTTTGATCCGAGTGTAATTCACTGACTTTTTATTTTGCTGGTTTGGATACAGTGGGAGATGTCTGACAGGGATTAATGACTCCCATAATTACTGCACTTTGATGACGTTACATTTATTCACGACTCAGTGCTTACACAACCGCTGTGCTATAATAATTTAGTTATTTATAACAGCCTGTCACCTGTGTCTGAACCCAACATGTAATATCATTCAGCCGCCCAGGGGGGATGTGTGTGTATGTGTCATTGTCTGTATCAGAGCTGTCCACTGAAGGCTGTCTGTAGCTGAGGGGCTGTTGTGGCTGTGTTGCGGCTCTCTCTGAGCCCTTTTTTGGGGGGAAGGAGAAGGAGCATTTGGCTTCTTCCTGCTGAGAGCTACTTAGTCCATAGTAGGTCAAGTAGAGGTGACACACGAGTCTCTTCGGCCCTGGTGTATAGTCTGCTGTACTGCTGTGTGCGAAGTGAATCCTGAGCTCCACTCTCACTCCACCAGACTAGAATGAGTGTCACTCCCCTGAGAGGAGCTGTCACGGGCAGGAAATGTGCTTGGAGAGGGGGAGAGAGGCACCGTTTCTGCAATCATTGACCAACGACTGACACGCCGAGCTGTGAGGAAATGAACAGTAGCCAGAACTGGAGCGGCGAAAAAGGCAATGCTTTTCTTAATTAGAAAGGTTTAGCTGAGAGGGTTTTTATCAAATGTCATGGCAGGTGTTTATTAGACATGAAATAGATTCTGTTCAGACTTCCATGCTCCCCCCTTCAGGACCTGGAAGAGCCACAGAATTACAATTACACACCTGGAGAATTCTGCAGCAGCATCAGTAAACATGATTAAAAAACATTAAATATCAGGAATTCTCCCATGAATCTCAATTTGTGAAGCCCAACTGTGGTTGAATTTGTTGTTTTATGATCTCTAAGAGACTTCAAATGCTTCATTTTATTGCAACCATTACTGATTTTCGACCATTTGCTCGGCTGCATTTTACAGCCTATTTCATATAAAAGTCTGTACCAGGGGCCTGTTTAAGCAACCGCATCTTAGAAAGGAGAGAGATTTAGCAAACATTTAATATTCAACACAAGGCTACAGTCTGTGATCAGCCTCAACTATAAACATTTAGTCTTGAAACCAAAAATCACAGTCGAAGAATCTTATATACTTTCAGGTTCTTCATATTAAAGTTACAGATGTTGAAATGTTGGATTTGAAGAAGGTTGCAATGTGTGTAATGATCTTGTTTGAACTGCTTAGAGTGTTACCACCTTGTTGTTCTCTCAGTTAGACCACAGCTGAACAGCGGCCCTTTAGCCCAAGTATAAATCCCACAATGCATCATGTTAGTGAGGTTTATTCCTACTTACTTATTATTAGGTGCCACAAGATTGCAGCTGTGTGATACAGGATAAATTTTAATGTGGAAAAAAAGACGTTTCAAAGATGTAGAAGTTGTACAACCCTGCATTTCCAAGCTCCAGTATTGTGACTAAAGTAGGCAGGTCAAAAGCAATTCACAATGTTACAGTTTTTTTTTTAGATAAAGGGACCGCAAATCAATATATTTAAAATTATCCTACAGGTACAAAGATTACATCATCTGATGGATACAGTTTTATTGTCCTTTCTCACTTCTGTCATTTGATGGCAGCCACAAACTTTTAAAATGGAGCTGCTCAGAAAAAAGAGGACTTGAGCACAAACCAGTCTTACAATAACTACATGTCAACATCGCAAGCAGGGGGGGCAAAGTATTATATTTAGTGTAATAAGTTTCTAAAGTTTGTTCACAGCTCCATAAGGATGGCTGGAGGAGGCGCGATTTATGACCTATACTGCAGCCTGTCACCAGAGAATGCTGATCTCAGGGTGGCTTCACCCAGCGAGGAGACAGGCGGTGTCCGTTCTATATACAGTCTATGGTTTGTACTCTCTATGTGTATCCCTGCTGTTTCTTAACCCTGCCAGTAGCCCACAGAGGGGGTTTAGTAACTGTGCAACCCTGTTTCATAAAGAAAAATGATAAAGTCATCAAGAGAGATGTGTTACAAAGTAGCACTGCATACAGTTCTGCTCAACCAGGTATCTTAGCATGCTTTGAGCATCCAGTCAATGAATTGCTTGCAATATACAACAAAAGAGAACAGATCTCATAAGAATACATTGACTTTCAGGAGGCATTCACTTTAAAATGGCAAATAAGCTGAGTGACTTCTCATGCTAGGCCCATTATTTGCCATTTTTGCCTTTTGGAATGTCATCAGCTGGATAAATGTCATACTGTTAAAAACAATCGTGTTCTCTATTTGTGCTACAGAATCAGGCACTGAATATATAATACATGTATAGTTTGCTGGTGAGAGCTGTGAAAACAGGGCATGTTAATCTCTAAAGCCTTTGCTGGGTTAAAGTACCCATCAATAAAGTATTATGCCCCAAAAAGTTTGATTTCCCAAAATTTAAAATCATTGGGCCAATCCAAGTTTGCCCAAAAGGACATTAGAGGAGTAATCCTCCCAAACACTAGACACTCCAGAATTAACAATTGAAAAATACATGAATGAAATAGTCGAAACAGCTACCCTTACTCACAATTTCCACTGCTTCCAGAACGGCTACGAAAAGGCTGTATCCACTAATCCCAGCTGATCGTAACCATTCAAGTCAATGTGTCAATTTCCGCTGGAGCATGCAGGAAAAATTCAGCACAGATTAACCCGTGCTGGAGAGGAAGTGGGGCACAGACAAAAAATAAAACATCCGGCTACTTTTCAAAATTAAACACTCTGGGCCTGATCTACTAAGATCCCAAATAAAATGCGCTAAATTGCGTGTGCAAACTAAAAAAAATTGCATGTGCTATTTTTGGGCGTGTTGCGGGTGATCTACTTTTACTGCGTGCGCAATTGATATTGGGTGCAGAAGTGATGCGGACCGCCCTCTTTAAAGGAGGATTTTGCGTGCCCTATTGGCCATGCACATATCGTATTGGGGAACTGCATAAAAGGCAAGGCAAGCTTATTTGTATAGCACAGTTCATACACAAGACAATTCAAAGTGCTTTACAGATACAAGAAGATATATTAGAAATCAAAAAAGGAATTAAAACGATTTAAAATCAATAAGACATACAGATATTTTTTTCATCTGTTCCATGTTTGACCTTATTATTTATGAAAATCATCATTTAATAGAAAAACGAAATAAATCACCAGCTTTTCGACAAGGATCATGGCGTGTATCATGGCACTTCTGCCTCCTTCTCCCCACAATGACCGTGCATAATGCTGTGTCAGTTTGCACTTGCCTTTCAAACGTGCTAAATATAGAAGCACAACAGCGATGCAATCAGTTTCGGGGTTTGATAGATTACACTGCGGGTGCTAAATGATTGCATTTGCATCTACTCCTCCCAGAATTTTGCGCGTTCTGATTATCTACATACATTCTGCAAATTCCTGAAGGCAAACACGCAAAATCAATTGCGCGCGCTGTTTTGCTCATTTGAGAGACGCAATCCTCAGCGCATCCGGTTAGTATCAGGTTTGCGTGTGCTATCAAGTTTGCACTTGTTTTTGCACACGCAAACCTTTAGTAGATCAGGCCCAAAGTGTTTTAGGCGGATAGTATTTCACACCACTGGGAACAAACAAGTTTTTAGACAGCATTTTGCCCCAGTGACACCATGGATGAGGAGATGCTGATTCTAAAAGTGGTCTTGTAGTCTAGTAGTCAAGAAGTGGATTTCCTCCTCCTTTAGGACACAGAGACAACTCATTATCGCGTGATTGCATGTGAATCCACGGGTTCTTGTGAGTTCTCGCCATTAACGCAGTCCCTAATCCACCACAAAATTCGCCTCACAAACAGATCCAGTAGGAATTGGCAGACTGCGAAAATTGCCGCCGTTCCAGATGCGGTGAAAATTCAGGGTTATAAGGAAAAAAGATGTCTATATCATCTTATGTACAATCTGCTGTTTGCAGGCTATTCATTTCATTTGCCCACAGTTGGTTGTGGAATTATGAATGGTGGCAAAAGAAAAGAAAATACCGGCTTCTTTTTAACAAAATCCAGCTCTAAACATGCTGCTGCTGTTTGGTGAAATGATTGCTGATGGGTATGACTTCAAAAAAAGTGTCACGGGACATGGGTTGTCAAACAGCCCTAGTTGTAAGAGCAGGAGGCAGGAAAAGTATTTTGTGCAGCAGACATAGTGCTCCTCACAAACCCTCCAGGTGGAATAGAGTTTTTTTTATCAGTTCTTTTCTTGATGTAGTAATGGCTTCCAGGCTTTTTAGGAGCTTACGCTTGCAAGAAGGCCATGGAGGGGTCACACTTGACAGATCTTTTCTTTTTCTTTTCGTAAGAACTTCTTTTAAGAACACTTGACAGATTAACAGATATCATGATGGTTGAAGTGTGCTGTGGTATTAAGGTCACATGAATACAAGTCAAACACCTGAAACCTCCTGTGCTCCATTTTGTTTTCATCTTTGAATCTCCACCCTGCCACCTCTGAGATCGAAGTCTTGCTGACAAAGATGGAGCTCTCATAGCCCGTGCAAAAAACGGGCCCGACCCCCTGTTCACAAAACACACCGAGTGGCACCGATCCAAACAGGCCACAGAAGCAGATGGAGCTGAGAGCAGACAGTTTCCATCTCGTCTGTGGGGAAGTTGTTTTCAATCATGGCGGTCTTGTACTGACACTGGTCCAAGCCAAGACACACCAGTGGTTTGGGCTGTTTAGAGAGCCAAACAACTCGTCTACTACATGCAGTAAAGCATTATTGTTCAGCAGAGAGGAAGGGCTTACCTGCTAACAGGAACATAAATCATGTTGCTGCCTCATGCTTCTGTGTAGATGTTAATCATATACTTCATTTTCAGGAAAAGATTTTCAGACTGATCTGAAAATCTTTCACTGACTAGAAAATCGATGGAAGAAACTCTCAGGCCAGACAGTCAAAGAGGACCTGAGAGCCTGCATGTACCAGACTGTCTGAGGTACTTCCCTTGTGTTTTTCTGACGAAGAATTTCTTTAATTGCTTATTTTTTTCAAAGTTCTACTTTCATAAAAATTTGCTTCCCATAGTTACACCTCTGTCGGTAAACCTCCTGTAATGCAGCTTTTAAAGCAAGTGTCCCGGTATGGTACCCAAACTTAAAGGTTAGAAAAGCAGACCAGCTTTTGAGGACACAACCAAAGAAAGTGGATTTATTTCCTAACCTAGGGCTGGGCGATATGGGAAAAAGTTTATCACAATATTTTTTTTTCACATCAGTCAATATTGATATAAATCACAATATAAAAAATGAAATTTAACAGTGTTTTTTGGTAGCATGTCTTTTACAATACAAAGCTACTGCATCTGTGAGGTCTTTGTGTCTCTTCGACATTTTGTCGTAAGGCTCTGCACTAAAAGCTGACTGAATGGTCAGCTGTTTCGGCTGCACAGGCGCCATGGGTTCCTTGCTTCGCTCGGGGTTTGTAACTTTTTGCAATGCTCTGCCATGTGGCACTGCTTCAGGTGATACAAAAGATTTGAGGTATTCCCCGACTTTGCAAGGATATATACCATTATCGTTTTTTATCGCCCAGCCCTACCCGCACCAACCTTAAGTTAAACATAATGTTGAATAAAGTGGCTTGGATTTATTAAACAGCTTTTCACTGTTTTCTGCAAAATAGTGGAAGTCACAATAAGGCATTTGATATGTGTTGCACGTAGATTCATATATGCAAGATCTTGCTGCTGTGTGTTTGTTAGGTGTTTGCTCAGAGCTGGAGCAGCAGAAATGTGGAGGCAAGGACAGCACGCTTGGCTTGTTTGGCTGGTGACCCTGTTCATCACCTACCTCCAGGCTCTTCCTCCTCAAAAACAA